ATCTTGAGGTGATTATGAAAGCTCTTCCTATAGTTTGGGAAAACCCTGATGACTACAACAATCACATAATGCTGATTGGTGCCTTTCATACATCAATGAACTATCTCAAGATGATTGGTCATGAAGTTGTTGGATCTGGATATTCAGATATAATAAATGAAGCAGGTTTGCTGTCATCAAGTGGTTCTTTAAATGGAGTTTTAAATGGCAAATCCTACAAGAAGTCACTTTTTTGTTTTCAGACAATTACTGAAGCATTGGGACGTCTGTTAATTGAAAAGTACATACAGTGTAGCAGAGAGTAAAGTTAACATCTACAACATTGACATCAATATGCTGCTGTTAAAATTAGTCAGTTCTCAAAATGCTGTCCTTAATGATGAGTTCAATAAGTCATTGCTCCAGGGCTTTAATAATTACATAGAGAAAGTTAGAAATGGTCACCTGGGTAAAACATCACAGTTTTGGGTATCTGTATTTGACCATGGTGTTAAGCTGAATCTCCTTCTCTATGCCATCAAAACCAATAAGATGGAAATTTTTCATAAAGTCATGGCAGACATGGGTGAGCTATATTTCTCATTTGGTGGCCAGAATTACGCTAGGTTTCTGTCATGGTTTGATGTCTATCTAACATTGAACATACACATCCTGGATCAAGTGAACTGCTTCGTGATGGTGCTATTTCTGTGGCAAGATCATTGACTCGGCATGTTTAGTGGAAGTAGACAAGACCATGGAAGAGTCATTTATGAAGAAAGGTAAGACTTGTGGGTCTATCGGAGGTGCTGGTTTGTCCGGTTTGTTTAATGTATATGCCACATTTAAACGTTACCTTGACACAACATCTAGTAGAATAGAGTTCTATCAGTCAACACGAGAAATGTGTGGATATGCTCAGGATGAGGGTAAAAAGATGCACAGAGATCTGTACCCTAGTCGAATTCACAAGAGTGAGAGAGCAGTTTTAAGCACAATTGATGCCTTCCGACATTCCTTTTTGAATCCATTTGAAATACAAGATAAATCAAAGTTGTATTGTCTTCATCCGGAGCTCCTATGCCATTTGACATAGAGAAAGATTTTTTGACTGCAGATGAAGTTGGAAGAAACACAAAAGAGAAATTCATTAAGAAAGGCTTATCAAAGATGATGTTTATTATTTTGAGAGAATACCAAAGTTGAAGCTCAAGGCCATGGCGACTATTAACAAAAAAGTGAAGCTCACTAGCAGTAAAGGGAAGGTTGTCCAGTATCAAGATCAGTGTAACTTTAGCTTTTACACTTCTCCTTAAGAGTCAACAGCATGACAAGGCCATAGACATCAATGAAATGATGAGTTATTGTTTAACACCAGGGCCCTATAGTTTAAGGCTTCAGATGGATACTTAAGCAAGACAGACAAAGCAAAGCTGCTGCATATTCTAACAGATGATGACCTACTATCAAACCAGCGTATTTCCTCATTTATAAAAGAAGCTATTTATATCGAAGATGGAAATGCTATATTTCACTCAATGAAAGCCCTCCCAGACACATTTGGTGATATAGCCCTATCTATACTGGATAAAGTTCTCAAGAAGAATGATGTCATATTTTCTACCGATTCATATCACAAAGACTCTATCAAGGCACAAGAAAGGCTAAGACGAGGTAGCAATATTGCTTGTCATAAAGTTAGCTATTCATTCCGCAACAATTTGATTGAATAGTTTACCTATACAAGATGTTAAAGAAATCATCCGAAAGTTACCTGGTTCGCTAGTGTCAACATCCTTTATGGATAAGGGTGACAACACTGCTTGACCATCTTACTGGAGGATCACCGCTGATAAGCAGTTTACTAATAATGTAGGAAGGAGATGATGTGTTGCTGGAAGTTTCGTAAGAGTCCATATAAAATGCCATCTTCCCCCAGGGCTGAAGTTGGTTTCTTTGAATTAAGAATTTTCCTGCCGTCTCTGGGTCTAATTGGGTCAAGGTTAAAAGGTATGAAGTGTTCCTTTAGGGATATAGAGTGGAACCATTTAAGATTTTGGATATCGATGTTATTCGCTCGACTATATTTTTGGGGAAAGTATGTATTGGCTGTTTCCTTTGAGAAAGTGGGAGTTAATTGACCTTTACTAATGTTTCCATTTATACAAATTTTGAAAATTTCCAGAAAGTTTTTAAAGTATTGGTTTTCTTGGTGGCGCGAACGTTTGTGTTGCTTTTTAATCCGCTCCATACATTTCAAATAATTGTTGGCCTTAACTGCTTTTCTAAATTCACGCCGATCTTGATCCGTTCCTATTACACCAAAAGCTTTCTTCCTAAGCATGTTCTTAATTTGTTTTGCTCATTTCGTAGTGTCGCTCTCGTGTTCTATGAAAAGTTTAATTACTGTACATTCTCTATATTTTTCTACTAATATGAGTGTATTTTAAGAAAACATATCTCATAGCTGTAATTTATACAATTTGTAACAATAAAGTTTTATCGTATTTTATTTAGTTTAGAGCGCAGGCCCATAGCCAGGGGGGTTTTTATGGTTCGGGCAAACCCCCTTTTCACAAAATTAGGCTAGGAAGTTTGTTTTCAACAGCAGACACACACTCCAGAACAGAGTGCGTCAAAACGAGTGTTTGTTAATTTTTAGTGATAAAGAATCATGAAACGTCGTAGAATAACTGACTTTTTTTCCTCCGCTGATTGCAAAGAAGAAAACGACAGTCAGTCAGTCCTTTAAGATGGGTTATTGATTTAAAAAATCAAAAGCCTAGCCTACATGTTGACTAGCTAGGTTCACTCCTCGTTCACTTAGAGACAGAACTATAGTATTATACCCCGACGACAACAAACTAGTGTAGGCCTGGCCTAATACAGTAGGACGTAATACAGGTACTAGGCCTAGGCTTTTGTGTAAAAGTTGAAGTGCATGTACAAAATGCGCCATAGGCCTATATTTAAAAAAAAAAAAAAAAACATTTTGTTAATTATTATTGGTTGACCTGGGAGCAGGGCAGGCAGGCCAGCTTTATGATGTCAGTTTTACGTCAGTGCACGTTTACAGAATGAAAATATACACGCTGAATTTCGTTTTTTTTTTTATGAAAGATAGAATTTATCGAACATTTATCTATATAAAAACGAGATTAATATTGTAGAAATTGTAATTTCTAAAGATGCATATAATTCATATTTCATATAATATTAAGGAAGATATACTAAAATGTGCATCAAATCTCAGCTATTATTAATCAGTATGTATTATGTTAAAGTCTTAAAATAATAATTTTGAATTAGGCCTAGTATATAACAAATAATTGTATTAAAGTTTATGTTCTCATGATGTCAGATAACGTATTGAATATGATGCTATATTTTGGGCTTTGACTTAATTAAAACGATGGCCCTGTCAGTAGTAATGACAATATTTGTGCTTTTTTTAGCCATGTAGTAAAATAGTACTATTATTTTCAGTGTACAAAATGAGAGTCAAGAAGTAGTAGTAGAAGTAGTAGAAGAAGAGGAAGAGGAGGAAGAAGAGGAATAGCTATTTTTTTTTGTTTTATAATAATAAATGTGTATATTGATATTGATTATGCGATGAGGGTTTTTTTTTATATATTTTTCGGTGTTATTTAAACATGCCATTTCTCAGAAAATATTTTCTAATTTTATTATATTACCACCTTTTTATTACATAGATCTTTTTCAAAACATAACTGCTTTTAAAACATTATATAGACCAATTAAACACAAAAACTGCTCTGGCATACACATCTAGATGTGTATAAGAGACCCGTGGACCTTAGGCAGGCCCCTGTACCCCACGCCCAGAGAACCCCCCCCCCCTTGAAATGACCTGGCTACGGGCCTGGAGCGTCTACATAAAAAACATGCATGAGATTTGTAATTTTTAAAATAGGGTATTAGGTAACTGAGTATGCTAAATCAGTTCTCAAATTATATAAAATTGGTAAACTTCTCTAAGTTATTCCACTGGCGGATTCAGGGGTGTGGGGCAGTGGGGGCGCCAGGACTTCCCTGATGGCAGGGCAACACCCTGACGGACAGGGGAACAGTTGCCAGGGGAGGGTTTTGAAAAACTTTAAAAATAGCCCCTAGATGCTCATACAGAGCATCTTGACCTACAAAAGGTGTTTGGTAATGCCAAGATATAACTTTCAGGTTTTTAAATATGATCACGCTTAGATTTTCCATAAGGTCATAATAACCTGTCAAAATGCCATTTGATGGTGTTTTTTTTGTATCCCATCGGCGCCCAAACTAATAATATATATAGGCCTATCCAATTCAGGCTAACATTTGATATAAACATTTTAAAATGTATTTTTTTTATCCTTTAACGAATTTCTCCTAATTTCCCCTACGGGGGCTGTAGCACCTCCTGGTCCCCAACCCCCGTAGTGCCACTACTTGGGAGCAGCCGGGTTGGGCCACCATTTTTCTGTTTGAAAAAAATGGAGAAAAATAGAAAATTCTACTCAAATTTTGGAGCCTGAGAGTTCCATTTCCAACCATCTAAAGGTGGTATAGACCCTCCATCTTTGAAAGTCCCTATCTAGCCCCCATCTCTATTTCAAATTCCTAGATCCGCCACTGTATTCCTTATGTTATTTTACTGAATTTTTGTCTTTGGATAGGATATGTACAGTATCTATATATGTTTAAGTTTACATCATATACAGCACTTGATATAATCTCTTAGTCTGAACTTGACATTAAAGTGTAAAACTGAATGTGTATAACAATGGATGGCATCAATTGTAAATGATACACATAAATGTGTGTGGTAAAAAACCTCTTCATTTGCAACGATGATTAAAATTGATGCCAAATAAATACAAGATATTATTATTATAAATTCTGTTGATGTTTCACTACAGTCGTTTTTAGTCCTTAGAAAAATTATGCATGTGATTTATAGCAGCATCTTAAACAATTTACACCTTCACTCGGAAATATACAGTGAATGGGAAGAGGTCTCTTACTGATTCCTGGTTCTTATGTCTTTGCTGTCATTGGTAGATGATTCATCAAATCCTAGATCACCATGTTTGGTATTTAGTGCAGTAAATGTCTCAGTATCAAATTCGTAATGGTCATCAGGCTGTAGTGAAACAAATTGAAATTAGTATAGTTGGCTCATACACTAGTGGAAATTACTGTACGAATGTTAAATTAATGCATTAAAAAATTTCCTGAGGACCTGCAATACGATTGACATATAACTTAACCTATTGCAACAGTAGACAGTAACTTCAAATTTCTTTGATATATATTTATGTTCAGGTTCCAGTACAAATTTCAAAAAATGACTTTCAGAAATGGCTATACAAAACTAGCATTCTACCCAATATACTGTAGGTTTTATTATATTTTTTGGATTAAATAATTTAAACGGTCACCTCATGCAAAATACTGTCCAACGTTGGTGTTTTTTCCAACTCCGGAATGTCAAATTCACTGTCATCTATCTGATGGGATAAATTTAGATACGTCAATGTACATTGTGTTAGTTTCCACATTGCACTACAAAACCAAAGAAATCAACACACAGCAACTTCAATTAATCTAATTATGCAGGGTTCGTATGTTTTTAAAATGGAAAATTTCCAGACAATTCCAGGACATTCCGGGTCAAATTTTCCAAATTTCAAGGACACATTATATCGTCAGTAAAATATCGGCGATTTGACGATTGATTATAAAACATGTATGCTGTACTAAGTTTCAATGCATGTTATTTGAGTGTATGTTTTAAGTTTTACCTAACTCTAATATGGAGGCGATGGATCTGTCTTTTTTTCTCACGCTTATGGGAAATTCTGATTTTCTCAAACATGAAAAAATTTGTTGGTGAGCAAAGGAGTTCCCACGAGTATCGGAAAGTACAGGTAAAGTAAGGCAGGGCTGAACTAGAGTAGAATACTCTCCACGGCGCATACAACAATGGTTGATACAGATACAGATACAGAAAACTTTACAGAATTTCATCCTTCACAGGAAATTTAATACATGTTCGCGATGGTAACCCTGTTCACATTTGTACAGTAAGATGAATATTACTTACAAAACTAGACAAAAATTAAACTACACTGAATAAAAGGATAACAAACAACTATCTTCAAAAATGTTCGTTGTAGAATCTGATTCCTCTAGGATGAAAAAGCAATGATATCGATTTGTTCGTACAGATAAACACCTCCTGTACTTGTGTCTCCAACTCCGTTTAATACAATTAGATACAATTACGGATTGGAGAGGATGAGAAGAGTCTGCTATTACTCTAGCAAACTTCGTCATCACCCTGTCACGGTACTGTAAACAGAGTCTACAGAAGGCACCTATTCCCCAAAAATTCTTCCAGCCTTATCAACGATACAATTAGATCTATCCATGTCACCTTTTAGAATATTCTCTCCCCAGCACACTAAACAGTAGCTCAGTGCACTAAAGATAACAGAATTAAAGAACATAAGCAAGATCGATGTGATCATAGTCAGTGGTGGATCCATATTTATTTTTCCAGGGTGGCAATCGAGGAGCTGTGGTCAAAGGAGGTGAAACTACTGTAAGTTCTCCTTAGCCTGGTTCACGTTGAAGTTAAGTCACTTATCTAAATCTTGAAATATGATACGATTTTTCCCTAGTTGCGTTCGATGCCAAGTTAGAGCCAGATAAACAGCCAGCCAGCTTCAAGGCCGTCGACGTCACACGGTGGAAAGGCTTGTTTAAAAATAACGTCTACTGTATTTTACGAACCTCTAGTACCAAGAGGTATTCGTAAAAAAATTGACAGTTTCGTAAACAACTGTAGATCAGGTGTCAGTTTCCACTACCTAGCCTAGCTATCCTCTGCCATTGATATATAGGCGACCAGGTAGTGCAAAGCAACTGACAGTGCAGCAACGTGGTCTACCGCAATTATAGTAATACTAATAGACTACTACTAAGCACTAGCTAACTTTACCTTCAATAAATACCAAATTATTTTAATCGCTAGCATTCTCCCATTCAACAAAATATTGTTTTATTTCTCATTAAAACATCTGTATAATTTGTGGACCTTTCTGTCATGTTTTTTTGTTTGTTTGTTTGTTTGTTTTTTTTTTTGCAGTTTTTAGATCGCTGAATTGTGTTGTTTACATTCACTTCGTGAAAATCTAGCTTCGCGGTGTCAATTAAGCTGCTGACAACACACTTTTTTATTTCGTCATTGTAAACATGTGCCCTCATTTTAACGACTGGATGTTGGTGGTAGTTCGTTGTAACTGAATTAATAGTGACTATTATAGCAGAAATTGAAAAGATTGAATTGTCAATAAATAAATACAACAAATCTGATTTTATTATTAAGAAAAATATACATTATCACTTTGAAAAACGTACGCAATCAGACTTTTTAAAATTAATACTTGGTCGATGATGCAAAGGGCAAAGGTCATTTGTAATATCGACTATTCGTAAAACGGACGTTTGCTGGGTTTTTACCCAAAATATTACAAATAATTTCTGAAAACCAGACTAATGAGACTACTTTGCTGCTTTTGTTAGCATTGTTGGAGTACCGTACTCGCGTGAATGAGCGCCCCATTTGAATAAGCGCCCCTCTCATATAACCGCCCCTCCTAGCATAAAAAAAGCGCCCCCTCAATAATATCATAAGATTTTCTTTTTAGCAAGTCAATAATTCAATCAATCCTGGGATTGTGGTTGTGATTTGAGCTGCAGAGTGGAAACACATTCTTCTTAGGTCAGTATCAAAATGAGGATATTTCTCTTGGACAGATGAGAGCTCCAATCCCTGGACAGACAGTATATTTCCAACTTTACTCTTTTTACATATTTGTCTATACCTACAGTAGTCCTACTCCTCTTTTTCTTTTTCAAACCTTTAACACATTCTCATCTGAGTTTTCAGGAAAATAATACAATGATCCTGCCATCCTGCTAATCTTAATCAGGCCGATGGTCAACAAGCTAACCACTACCCACCACCACTAATTGCATCTGCTATTTTGCTGTTATGTAAATATTCACACATTCTTGTCATGAACCATGTTCTCTGGACGTTTATCTTTTCCGTAATGTCCTTATATAATCTTTTTTCATTCAAAAAGTGCCTCTTGAATTTAATAATTTCCCATAAGAACCAATCGATTTTCATCTATTTCCATAAGCGCCCCCTCAATTTCCACTCTGTTTTCATAAGCGCCCTGTTTAAATAAGCGCCCCTCAGAAAGTGCAAAAAAGTGCAAAAAAGCGCCCGTAAGGTACGTTGTAATCTGAGCCCACTTTACCGTTAAGCAAGTTAATTTACTGTTATTCTAGTAAAGTCACTTAACTTTAAGTGACTTAAGCCTTTATCTAGCTATAATTGACTGGTTCACGTCGAACTTTTAACTAGTTAAGTGGATCCATATCTAGATAAAAGTTTGATGTGAACCAGGCTTATAGTGGAGCTACAATCTTAGGTTTACTTTCTTGTTAATGAACAATGCATTGTTTATAAATTTCAATGTGGCTTGTGTGATGCAAGCTATGTCGGCTACACTTGTCGACACCTTTATTG